CTGGGGATGGGAAGCGGCCGGAGCCCCCCGGGAAGCGCCGTCGGGGCCGCCCCGTCCGCAGCCCCGCAGATCCGCCCGCAGCCCTCCCCTCCGGCAGAGCCTTGGCACTTACAGACGGGAAACTCCCGGGAAAAGCGTGGAAAGGGACCGAGGGAAGGCAGAGCTCCGGCTGCCCCGGTCGGAGACAGGACGGGATGGAGGGAAGCGGGGAGGGGACCCGCCCGGGAGAAATGTCCCCTCTCCCTAAAGCTGCCGTCAGGCTAATCACCATGGGCAAAATCCGTCTGCAGAACGAGCAGAATGGTGACACACGTGTGTGTGAGTGTGTGTGAGTGTGTGTGAGTGTCCCCGAGTGTCCCCGCGTGTCCCCAGCCCGCTGAGCCCTCGCTGCTTTTCCCTCCCCATCTCCCGGCACAGCCCGGCCATTGTCTCTGCCCGCAGCAGCAGGCGACAAAACATCTCCCCTCCCTGGCTGCCGAGCTCGGGGATGAGGGCTTTTTTCCCACCCTGCTTTTGATGGGGGCTTTTAAGGCGCTGTGGATTTACGGACACTCGCGTTTGTAGATTGCCGTGGGAGAGAAGAGTTGGGGGAGCAGTTGGGTGGGATTTGGCTGCGGGCAGGGTGTATCCTAACTTAGGGATGCGCTCCAGGGAATTTTGTAACGTGTAGCCTCGCAAAAATAATAAAAAAAAAAAAAATAAAAGAGAGAGAGAGAGAGAGAAAACAATTGTCTTTTTATTTTTTTTTTCTTTTAAGAGCTGAAACCCTCTAGATTTTTGTTAAAAAAAAAACAAACAAAAAAACCTCAAAAAAAACCCACTTCTCTCTCTTCTTTCTAATTTATAATTAACACGATGGTAGAGGTGTGTCAGCCACTTAAACTGAATCGGTTCTTAAAACAAAAGTGTGTGTGTGTGTGTGTGTGTGTGTGTGAGTGCGGGGGGGCAGCTCTGGGAAGTGTGAGTCTGTTTAGGAAGGAACGCAAGTTGAACTTTAACAGAAATGGCAGACAGTCCAGTTGAACGGGTTCCTGCAACATCAAAAAGGTTTTATATCGCCCCTGGCTTTGCCTCAAAACTATACATTTACTATCCTTTAAAATTCACTCGATGCATTTCACATTTGAGTAGAAATCGGGAGATCTCTATAAGTATAAATATATATATATATATTTTCATATCGAGCCGTAGAAAGAGGATTCAGACAAAAAAAAAAATCAAGCCCAACAATGCAGATTCAAGTATTTATTTGAGTATTGCGAATAAATATGATCTGTAACACGCGCCAGAAGGGCTTAATCTTTACTGTAAATAGACATATATTACAGTGACTGAGCGTTTCTTCTTCTAATCCTTTAAAAATTACCTAAAAAAAGAAAAAGAAAAAAGCCTCTTTTTCTTCATTATTTACTTTAAAAAGCCAGCAACAAACTGCAAGTACAAAAGCACCGGAGGCAATCAATTCCTTGTATTAGAAATGTATAATTAAATATGTATTAAAACAAAAAGGAAATATACTTTTCTCTTCTTCTTCGTCTTCTTCTTCTTCTTTTTTCTTCTTCTTCTTCTTCTTCTTCGCCTCAAGCATTGCTTCATCTCAGTTCCATGATCCAGCTCAGCAGTGTCTACTTTCCACATCTTCCTCCGCTCAAGTTTATTGAAGTTCTGCCTCTTCCTCGCTAAACTTTTTCCCCCCTTCTCCCTCTCCCCAAACTCTGCCTCTGCCAGCCCCCCTCGTCTGATTACATCTAGTAATTCTCCACTGAATGAACGTCATTTACAATAGTAGGGGAGCTCTCGAGCTGGCTGCCAGCTTCACGCTCCATTTGGTCCTGCATTCTCCCTTTAAAGTAGTCGTGTAATATTAATAGTCATGAATATCAATTATTATGAGGCGGTGTAGAGAAGGAAAGGGAGGAAGGGGTAGCGGAGCAGTCTGAGCCTAGCCTTGGGTTGAAGAGGATTGTATTTGGGAGCTCAAAGGCAAAAAAAAAACAAAAACCAAAAACCAAAACCAACAAAAACAAAAAAAAAAAAGGAGGAAAAAAAAAACCCCGAGAGGGAGGGGTAAATCATATATGTAGATAGAGGTTTCCAGGCTCGGTTTTGGGGGCACTGGTCTTTTTTTTTTCTTTTTTTTTTTTTTTTAACCTTTTTGTTTTTTGATGGATAGACTTCGAAATATCTCAAGCTGTTCTCCTGTGTCCAACACGTCCCTTTGCAGATCTCCTTGATATTTTTTTCCCTCCAATTATTAGTATTATCACCATTATTTTATTTTTAGCTATTACAAGACTTTTTTTATTTCCAGATGTTAGTCCACACCTATTCCGCCATGGTGAGTTTGGATCCATGTTGTACTAGAATTGCATGTTCTCTCTCTCTCTCTCGATCTGTTGTGTCTCTCTCTCCCTCTCTCTGTCTTTTTAAACGCCTTTGGCTTGGTAATTTAGCACAATAATTGGAGGAGGCTTGCAGCTGCTTCTCCCTTTTTGCATTGTGTGTTCCCGATTTGAGCTAGGGGAGTCTGGGGGGGCGACCAGGGGGAAAAAGAACTTTTTTTTCCTTGTTGTTTTTATTTTTTTATTTTTTTTTTTTTAAATCATGTGTGCCATCGCTTGTGGGGGTTTGAGCTACACTTTGTGGAATAGATATTTTTCTTGTTTACTTTAATCTCGCAGCTTCAGTGCGTTGGAGTTGGACAAAACTCCTCTCCCACCTTTTCTCTGAAGCCTCTACACACTCCCCCCACCCCCTGTCCCCCCCCACATCTCAAAGACTTTTCATTACAATTAACCCCCACCCCATTCTCTGGAATATAATATTGGAAAAGGAAACAAAAGACACTGGAAGTTGATGCAGACATCATAGCGCCTGGATTTGTTCAATACCGATGTTTCATCTTTATTTTATTTGATTTTTTATTAAATTTATTTTTAAGGGGTAGACTTCCTTTAAGCGAAGATTCCCCGTAGTGGTTTTTTTTTTATTTTTTTTTTCCTTTTTTGTTTTTTTCTTTTTTTTTTCTTTTTCCCAGGTCCTTTTTAACACAACTTCTCATCTCGGAGTCCTCCGAGAAGTACAACTTTCTTTTTGGGCTTTTCCACGTGAAAATGGGTTGGTGATTTTGAGTTACACGACTTGAGCAGAGGGAATAAACAGATGTTGGGAAACTTTAGGCAGGAGAAGGGCTGGGTTGTCTGGATAGTTTGGTTTGGTGCTCTTAATTTTTTAAAGTGTTCTTTTCCCTTTGGTTTGATTTGAGGGGGGCTGTGGATTGGGAATTATACTACTGGTCTGAAATCGCAGATCGTACATGTATTTGGAGCACTAGTCCTACATTTTTAATTATGACATTTAGCAATTCTCCCTCACATCCCCCGCCCCTTCCCCCTCCTTGATAGTTCCTGGGAATAGACACGATGTGGGTGCAAAATATTTCTAATAAGTGGCGGGGGAAGGGGACACATCTGAATCCCACTTTCCAGCTGTTTACATCCTATTTTGTTTTATTTCACTTCGGGGGGGTGGGGGGAGGGTTGTGCTCTTTTTACTTTTTTTTTCTTTTTTCTTTTATTTTTTTTCTAAAAAAGATCCTCTTTTTTGTTGTTGTTTGTATGTCATTCCGCTTGTAGGACCGGCATGATGGAGTGCCCAGCCACAGTTCCAGGCTGTCCCAGCTGGGATCCGTCTCGCAGGGACCCTACTCCAGCGCTCCTCCGCTCTCTCACACCCCATCCTCGGATTTCCAGCCGCCTTATTTCCCACCCCCCTACCAGCCTCTTCCTTACCACCAAAGCCAGGACCCTTACTCCCATGTCAATGACCCCTACTCCCTAAACCCCTTGCATCAGCCCCAGCAGCACCCCTGGGGACAGAGGCAGAGGCAAGAGGTGGGATCAGAAACCGGGTCACTGCTGCCACAGCCTCGGGCCGCCCTGCCCCAGCTCTCGGGACTGGACCCCAGGCGGGACTACCACTCAGTTCGGAGGCCAGATGTCCTCCTGCACTCAGCTCACCATGGCCTTGACTCCGGCATGGGGGACAGCCTTTCTCTGCACGGCATCGGACACCCAGGGATGGAGGAGGTCCAGGTAAGGCACCGCGTTCCTTTCTCCCGGGCAGGGCAGACGGAGCCCCGCTCCCTGGGTCAGGAGTGATCGCTGAGGGATTTCCAGTTGTATTGCTGGGGGTTGCTATCCTTTATCCACACCGGGTTTGTAACTGTGGTACTCCCCCCTCCCCCTCCCTCTATTTTTCTAATTTTTTTTTTTTTTTTTTTTTTCTTTTTAAATAAGAGAATTTATTTCCTCGCCGTCACGCACAGGCTCCCCTTTATAAACCCTCCCCTACATGGCCAAGCGGCAAAGTGCAGGGGGAAGGCAGGCATGCTGCTCTAAATATTCCACGTGTTTCAAAAGCTGGCAGAGTTCAAGCTTGGCTTTTCAAATTCCAGTTATTTCCCATGCAATTTCAGCTTCCACTCCCCTCCACCCCCCTCTCCTCCCCCCAACCAATTTCCTGCCGTTCAGAGATTTTGATGAAACTGTCGAATTACTACATTTTTCATCCGGGAGGGAGGGAAATGATAAACAAAACCCCAAACAATGCAATAACTGGTGATCAGGAACAAGTCCCGCGTCCGTCCCCCCACCCCCCTTATTTGCGATGTGTGCTTGGTAGGGTAGCACAGATTTTAAATAGTTTCGTTCCCTCTTTTGGATAACAAAGGAGTTTCGCCGAGCTCAAAGCACAGTATTTCCCAGCTTTCTTCCATCCCACGCGAAACTCATCATCACGTGCTATTTCCTAAAAACAGAAGGACCCTTAACAGCTTCGCTGCTGGGGAGGTTTGCACCTTGCTGGAGCAGGGCATGGCCAGCCCGTGGGGACCCCCGAGGCAGGGGCTGGAACCTCCAGGTCCAAATCCTGCCTCAGGCTCTCCTAATCGTGATTTTTGAGGTTCCCCTCCGTGCTTTTTTTATATATATATATATTTTAATTCAAATTTTTTATCATATCTCATATCTGTATATGTATTTAGTCTTGGGATAAATAAAGGTATGGGCCACTGAATGAAATAACGACATCGAAGTTACAGAATGGGAAAAAGAAAGGAGAAAAGAGGAGCTGGGAAGATTTAAAAATAGCCGTGAAAAAGGATGCTGCTGACCATGAGAGGAATCAGCGGCAGGGAAGCGGAGGGGATGCATTGCTTTGGCTTGAGGCTTGTCTTAGGGCTACACGGGAAAATTCCCGAGCTTTGCCGGGGAGGAATGTTTTAGAAAAAGAAAGCTTTTGCTGTTTGGATTTGCTCCTGCCTCCGAGCTGAGTGACCGCCGGGTCGCTGGTTTCTGCTGATTTCCGAGGTGGCTTTGAGACCTGGGGGCAGCCCCTGACCGCCAAGGGTGCGATGCGCAGGTCTCGTCTCGCATTCCTGGCTCAGACAAAGTGCTTTGCAAGTCAAGGCGAGTTTTACCTCGGAGAATGCAGAAAGGAGATCGCTCTCCTCCTTTCTCTCTGCAGCCGATGGGCGTTAAGTACTGTTTGTGCCTGGGTATTTACACTTTCCCCAAAGAATAGTCGGTAATTGTGCTTTTGTGAGAAACCGAGTAAAGCAGAGGAGAGAGAAGGGAAAGGAAGGAGATAAAAAGAGAGAGGAGAATGCTGAAAGGACAAGAGAGGAAAAGATAGAGAAGAGAGGGAAAGGAGGGGGAAAGATAGGGAACGAGAGAGAAAGACATAAAGAAAGAAAGAAAGAAAGAAGAAATAGGAAAGAAGGAGCTCAAATAAAGCAGCTCTCCATCCGTTTCCCAATAAAACATCCCTTCTGCGGGAAGGGCACTGCACTGGAGGAAAGTGCCTGTCCCCGATGGTCCCAGAGCTGCGGGGCCACCCGCGGCCACCCGCGACCTGCTCGCCAGGGCTGGCCGGGCCAGGGGGTGCCATGGGATGGGGATAGGATGGGATGGGATAGGATGGGATGGGATAGGATGGGACAGGCGAGGCTGTGGATCAGCAGGGCTGGGGCTCTTGGTTTTGGGTTGCTGAGACAGCAGGAAATCAAACAGACCCCTTATTTCTGAAAGTTTGTTCCCAGGTTGGGGGAGGAGGGGAAGAGGGAGAGGAGGGTATCCCAAGGAGAAACACGTGAAGGGAGAGGTGTCCCACTGCAAGTTAAGGCAGGCAGCAGGGAAAGCAGCCTAGAACTCAGTGCTGCCGCTCAGCATTCTCTATTCTTTTCCCTCAACTAGTGACAGATGAAGCTGGACAGTTTTCCATCTTGATATTTAATCTGGGTTTATTCTAGATTCGAGGAACCTTTTCTAGCAACAGGTTTTTTATTTAGGCGACATATACTCATTATCCACCATCACTAGATACAATTTCCAGGAAGGGTTTGAAACACTGGGTTTTTTTCTTATTTCAGTAATCCAAAGGGTTGAACGGATAACTAGATGTATAGTTGGATAAAGATGTTTCTCTTTGCTTAACTTATGCATGTCTGATCGAATATGTGCCATGAGAATGGGCTGGGCTGAGGAGAAGGAGACAGAGAGTGCGTGACAGAAAGAAACAGTGGTTATTTTATAAACATCTAATCCAGTCCATGTGTGAGCCATTGTCCAGGGCTAGAATTAAGTGATTGTAACACGATAGCTCTCTGTTATTGTAAACAGGACACACTGTATTGCTATTGCTGCCTCTCTCGAGAGGAATTTTCAATCTGCGATTTACAACCTTCAAGACAGGGAACTGAGAAGCCAAGACCTACTTATTGAACAAAAATTTACATCATCTAATAGGGACTCTGAAAAAAGAAATTCAGTATTACAACACCCCCACCCCCCACCACTGGCTGGGCAAAAGTAGGGTTACAGTAATAAAAGATTAGATGAAGGAAAAATGGAGGGGGAAATTCAGATTCTTTAAACTCTTTGAAGAAAAATATAGAGCTCAGTTTTAAGGTTTTCACTCAGATGTATCCATAGAAGTTGAACAAGGTGGTTACAGATAGTACTTAGGAAGCTTCGTGCTATCAGATTATTGGAGGAGAGAAGGGAGGGGAATCTTCCTCTCCAGATTTTCCAAGTATACCTGGAAACTCATCACCTTTCCCCTCCCTGCACACACACACCTCCGCTCCTCCTCCTCCTCACTCACGCTGCTACTACGTGCTAGAGCTCGAGACACGGAAAGTTAAGTTGCACCAAAACACCCAAGTCTCTTATAAAGTAACCCCTGGTATCACTTTTAACTAAAGAAGTCTAGTAATTAAAAGTCTGAGTTGTTTTTCCACGTTTCCGCATGCAGTCCTAATTAAATCTTTACGATCCTCTCTGTGACTATTAACTGCCAGCATGCTGAGCGAATATCCTGTACAAAAACCCAGCAGGAGGGCGTAATTAGATAGAAAATCAGACAGGAGTCTTCTCATTAACTACAACAACTAACCCACGTTGCTGATGGAGCGAGCTGAGTGCACGCACACGCATAAAGGGTGCGCGCAACCATCGGCTCCAGACATAAGGTGAGATAAGGAGGAAAAACGAGGGAAAAAAAAAAAAGGGAAGATGATGTTTCACGTTTACCTCCGTTTCTGTGCCATCGAGGTTGCTGCACTCCAGCAGGCTGCAGGATTTGCTCATCATCCCTCGTTGGGAGCTGCTCAGGGAAAGGAGGGAAAGACTTTGTAATTTTATTTTGTGCCCTTTAGGTATGGAGCCTATTGATTATGAGAGAGAGAGAGAGAGACACAGCCATGCCCAAACACAGCACATAAGGCACCGCTCTGTGTGTGCGCTCATTTGAGGGTGGATTGGAGGAAAATGAAAGGAAAGCTCTCACAGAAAATATTGTTCCATCGCATTTTGGGGAGATGTAATTTTCTCCTCACCCGCATTCCATCTGGAATGTCTCCGCAGAGCACAGGGACGGAGATAAGGGCTGGATCCGAATAAGCTCAGCTTCTCGTAGCAAAGATAAAGTTAAAATAATGAAGTGTTTGTTAATCATCGCTTTGCTGTAAAGGTGCTTTGCTCAGCAAGGAAAAACGTGACAACTGCCCAAATATGCAATAACACCGAAAACTCCAAACCTTTTAGTAATAGTAATGGGAAAAATAAAATAATAAAGCCAAATCCCCCTTTTCTTCAGAATTTACCCTAAAAACGGAGCCTGTTGGAATTCTGCAATAAATTATTCTTATGACACCTCTTCTTTTTCGGAGGTGGCTTTACCGTGCTGAAAGCAGATTCGGCAGTAATTTTGGTTTGCTTGTGGGTTTTTTTGTATCTCCCACTTTCGTTTTGAGAAATGAAACCCAACATTTTCCGCGTCCTCTATGCCCGTCTTTGTTCTCTTCCCTGCTAAAGAAGTTAATTCCATAATAACAGGTGTGCTCCTTGGCTGGCTGGAAAGAAAGGCGAAAAAAGAGGGGGGAAAACAAGGCTTTGAAATTCGGAGACTTTTTTCTTTTTTTTTTGTCCTAGGCAATCAATTTGATGGTTCATACTTTTGATAATGTGTATTCCCGCTCCTCCCTCCCCGTCCCCACTAATTCAGGACATGGAAGCAACCTCGGGAGCTGTAAATCTCTTTCTGCTCGTCCCCTGTACGATGTGGGCGTTGCACTGCGCTCCGAAAGGCTCCGGCTTTAATTAAAAGTCCATAATGTAAACTATGATATATAAAAAGTAAATGGCCCTTGAATTATTAAGTTGTAGCAGGGTTAAACAAACAAACAAACAAAAAAAAAAAAGGAAAACAAAAAAGAAAAAGGAGGAGGGGGAGGAAAGGGGAGGGAGCATTTAAGTTGTCCTTAATCGTGTTCATTTATGTCATGCAATAGATCTTGCAGATGTTGCCAAATTGCCACATTTTCAAAGGAAGAAATATAAAGCTTTATGGAATGCAAAGAAGTCTATGTGATATCTATGTTTTATAAGATAACAAAACCAGTATTGCACCCCATATGCTTCATACCTCTTATTGTTTTATTAGAAGACTATATAATTTGTAAGAATTTAATTTCCTTGTCGATTGGGGGAAATAATAATAATAATAACAACAGTAATAATAATAATAATACCAACAATAAAAAAAAAAAACAAAAAAACAACTCCTCCCTTAGTGAATTAATATAAATGGAAATAACAGGGACTCCAGTTTGGAATGACATGATTTATGTACGCGATTCTTTAATATCCAGTCAATTTGAATAGTGATGTTTTTATATCCACAGTCAGTTGAAGATGCCAATAACAGCGGTATGAACTTATTGGACCAGTCTGTCATTAAAAAAGGTATGGATTATTCCAACAAGCTAGACAAACTTTTACTGTGTAAAAGCGATATCTTCATGATATATTTTGACTTTGGGGCAATGAATTTCTCCGGGAAGCAGGCACCCATGGCAGCAAGATGAATAGTTGATTGGATCAGCAGATAGAGTGAAGGGATAAGACACGCGAAAGGAAAAGTTTTTATCCCCGCCTCCCCCGCCCTTCCAAGGGTTTAATTACACGAAGGCTCTCAAACGGGGCACCCCGTGCTCCAGTGCAGCTCCCACCGCCCCCCTTCCCTCCCCCTCTCCCCCCGATGCTCTTCGGTGCGGACCCCTCGGTTTTTAATGGGGGAAGGTGTTGATT